CTATTATTACAATGTGGGTTTAAAGCTAAATGGATTAGATTGGGGAGATTTGTGTTTATATAATGTGTTGAGATTTATAGTTTCATACTCTGCTGTATTTGTGCTACCGAACTAAAGAATATATAGCTTTGTTTTCATTACTATCTCTACTTTAAAATGTAAAGCTACACTCGAGTCATACTGCGTGTGTCCTCATGCATCACGAACACCTCTATAAACGGACGCGCACGATGTTTTAACGTGCTGCTATTATTGTGGACGCTGTGTGTGTGATTTGTTTATGTGGCATCTGTGTGTGACTTCTGAACAGGTGTGTGTGCGACAAAGGTAGTGGACAGGTGTCACCCTTGCAGGCGGACTATTTTTACACCAGCAGCGAGACATCAATTCCTGTGTTAAATTGATATAAGGCACATCTACTGTACGCATGTTAGCTTTTATGATTTATAGGGACACCTATAAAACGTCTCTGATCCAAAATAAGAAGAGTAGAAACAGAATACTTCAGAAGGAGGAGGTTTTTGGCTTGATGTTCAAAGCCTCAATACAAGTCTCCTGGCTCACCAGATGATTCACTTAACTCTGATATTTGTCTCATAAAACAAATGACAATAGATTTATTTTAAAGTGCCCGGTGTGCTTCAGAATAAGCCCATTTCAAAGCGTTATTGTTCTCGGCTTCCTAGGCCATAGTTTCTTCATATACTTCACTGCAGTAGTAGGTTAAACAATGTATCAAATCTTGCAGCCCAAAGCTCTCCAGAGATCATGTGGAGCTGCAGATGGATGCATGTAGGCAGTGGTCCCTGCTCAGTATGCACGTTCTCCCTCCAGGCTACACCGTCTCTGAATTCAAGGTGCTAATTAGGGACTGAAGACTTGTGTAATTACATCTGCACACTCCTCTATGGCTAAAGACTGGACACCAGTGAGGGGACATTGCAGAGAGGTTAGGTGTAAATTAGCCGTGTCCTGCAGGTTTATTAAATTATCCACATTATTAGCAGAAAGTCTGTTTGTTTTTCTGTGTGTGTGTGTGTGTGTGTGTGTCACCAGAGAGGGTAGGGGGAATATACCTGTAGCAGGGAGATAGCAGGAGGCCATTTTGTGTCTTTTAGTTATGATTTATGACTTCGTCTTAATGTGGTAGCAACTCGAGCTAAAATGAAGAGAAGAAAAAGTACCTGAACCTTGATTTATGCAGAAGAAACAATGGCATGACCAAAGGCTCTAGCTTGGAGTAGCGTAATCATGTTAACAATTTAGCAAACAATTTAAGACGACAGTAATTGTATTTACATCACTTTGATCTTCTATTTATATTCATGATAAGTATAACAAATGGGCCAAAAGTCTCTTAAATAAGATCAAAAGGCAACACTTGGTGCAGAAACCTCAACTTCCCACCTTTTGATGTTATTGAAGTTTCTACTTGAACTAAACTACATCAGGGCTTTGGGGGGTGATACATTATGAAGTGCAGGTATTGAACGGGTCTCTTTTGAAAACGTACGTTGCTCATGGCTTCCCCTCTGAGGGCGGACGCTGTAACTCCAGGCAGCGCCGCGGTTACATCAGCCCTGCTAGCTGACATTACTAAGATCTGTGTGTGTGTGTGTGGGGGGGGGGAGGTCTGTGTATGTCAGCTGTATTGAGGGTCAGCAGCCCTGATTCCCCTTGGGTGGGGGTGGGGGGGGGGGGCGTAGTTATGACAGGCATTCAGCTGGTCCACCGTGACCTCATTTTACAAGAAGGACCTGTAAAAAAAAAAGGCAGATCTGAGCCGGGCCAGACCAACAGGTGTGGGGTGTGTGTGGTGGGGGGTGGGGTGATGCCAGGATGGGGGGTGACTTCATGCCGGTGGACTCTGCAGACCACAGGCATTCAAACGAAACCCACAGGATGAGATCATAGAGAACGACACGCAGAGATAACAGCTCCAGAAATCCTGGCTACGGCAGATAATTGTTTTTCTTTATCCCGCGGTGCTGCGTTAAGCATAAGGAATTATGTGTTCTAGCTCCAGCTTTAAGTGATTGCTTGATTCCGTTCTGACAGCCCTCCTTTGAAGTCGGCGAGGTTTCTCCCCGCTCATCTTACACACCCTTTCTCTGGTTATTATTTTATACGTATTCTTCAATCCTTTCTCCCCCTCTCTCCGTCTTGGACTCTTACAGTTCACCTCAGGAATCCTGCCTTCTCAGCTGTCCGCTGGTGTCCCATAGCAAACCGATTTAGCCTCGACCCCCCCTTCTCTTTTCAGTACCCCTCCCCTTTACCTAATATAAACCCACCCCCTGCTCCTTGGGCTCCCTACCTCCTTCCTACACCTTCCCCTCCGCCGTGGCCTGTGCGAGCTGGATTAGGAGCTGGTCTAAATTTGGTCATGCATGGCAAAGGAGACGAGCACCTGCTGGGACCCCGGCTTCTCCGCTGCAGACCCTTACATCAAATTACACCGGGGCCGGGGCATTCCTGTCACTCCTCACCGCTCCACTTCACTGCCTCGCTCTTTCTCTCTCTGCCACTGTCTTTCTTTGGCTTTTTAAATTCTGGAATTCATTTTGAATCAAGTTAAGTTGCAGACGGGAATATTTGTTGTTAAAGTTTGTAAGAAATAAATAAAAAAAACATGCCATGATTCATCGGCTATTCAGATCCCACTGCAGCAACACTACCTATACTACAACCTAAAAAGACTTTACACACGTGTTGTGAGCTAAATGTACTTAAGCATATACATTCGGATTCTTATGGTATGATTTGTTGTATTAGTATGTTCAAATCTGAAGACTGGTTAAAGAGTTAATTTTCATCAGCAGTTTAATTTCTAAAAGGACATACAGGTAGTAGAATAACATCTACAATATTCAAAGGCAATGAGGTGGAGGACACTAAGGAAGGAGAGCGTAAGAAAGGAAGAAATGACGCACTGATGCAAATAATGACCTTTTATGGAAAGGAAGCACTTACCTTACCTGGTCACGATAACCTAATCAGAGCACCGTTAGCTTTTTTGCAAATGTAGATACTTAACAGTACTACTTGTAGTTGCTTACCATTAATTTCTTTATATGAAACTATTTCATTCTGTATTCAGACATATTCAAGTTTCTCAAATCGTCTATTGTCTAGAAAACGTCCAAGTCGTACTGCTTTTCTTCCAACTATCAGTCCAAACTCAAGTCCTTTAGTTTAATATTGATGAGTAATGTTGTTCATTTTCTTTGAATCAGTGGATTATTTCAGCTCCAGAGTGCTCATAGAGAAGTGTAGTGTCTCCTTACATTTACATTACATTGCATTTAGCTGACGCTTTTATCCAAAGCGACTTACAATAAGTGCATTCGACCAACAAAATACAAACTTGAAGAAAACAGAATCATATAAGTACATCAGGTTTCATAGAGCCAAACATTTCAAGTGCTACTCAACTGGCTTTAGATAAGCCAGCCCTTTATTAGTGTATAAGTGCTTCGTTAATAGTTCTATCGCTCGAAGTGGAGTCGAAAGAGATGAGTTTTCAGTCTGCGCCGGAAGATGATCAAGCTATCTGCCGTCCTGATGTCAATGGGGAGCTCATTCCACCATCTTGGAGCCAGGATAGCAAACCCACGTGTTTTTGCCGATGGGAACTTGGGTCCCCCTCTCCTTTAAACACACACTCGCTTTCTCTCTTCTCACATTCAGTCACTAGTGGGGTCTCTCTGTCAGAAACCCCTTCCTCTCTTCTCGTCACCATCTCTCTTCTGTCTGTCTCTGGTGCTTCTCTGTCCACCGTGTTCTTCCACGGTCACACTGGAGTGCAGGCGATGGACACACAAACACACGCAGATCTAAACACACACCCACACACTGTACAAGGTCGTGTACATTTAGTTTGAAATGTGCTCCGCTGTAATGGAAAATGTATGCTCTTACCTACCTACGGAGCACAGAGCGTGTACAGTTGCTAATTTATACATCTGTCTCTCTCTCCTCACTCCGCCCGCACCATCATCTGTAGTTAGTTATTCAGCTCATGTACTTATTCTGCGCCCACACATCCTCCAAACCCTGGTGAAGTTTCGTCTCCAGTGGCAGCGCTTACACACACTCACTCTGCCGAATGTGCACACACACATCCCATACTCACATTTGAAGCTAAACACCATGAAAGCCTCTCAAAATGCCATTCAGAGATTGATTGAATGGCCTGATGGAACCAATGGAATTGTCCCTGACGTGCATGGCCGACCATTAGGCCATTTTCCAGACAGACCCAAAGCAAGCACTCAGCGGCTAAAAGCCATTTACATCACTGTCTGCTTTGTGCCCATTACACACAGCAGCACCTAATGAGCGTTTGCTTTCTAAAAGCAGAGATCTGGCTTTCGAGAGACGCAGCGGCTACTCTAGCGAACTCTAACTGCTCGACACAACGCATCAGGCTGAGCGACAAACTCCAGGACCTTCAGGCTGACTGGTTCTCCTAGTGACAGAAATACATTTGGAGAAATGGCTGGAAGCATCACTGCGATGCTTTTTCAGTTTGAAGTCTACTGTACTATAACTTGGCACGTCAGCTGACTTCAACATAGCTCAGCATGTTCTGATGTTTGAAATGAATATCTAATGGTGTCAAAAAACCCCACAATAAGATCTCATCGAGCTGTCATCCTGCGCCCGTGGCAAAGACACGAGCGTAGACAAGACATGATTTTCTAAAAAAGACAATAAACAAAGTCAAAGCATTAAACAGAAGTCAGTTTTGCGTGTTCAGGATCGTTGAGTCAGCCGTCGATCTGACGTAAGTGTCTCAGCGTGTTGACCTGTGTTGGCAGCGATGATAAGGTCACAGATCGAGGAGGACAGTTGATGCCTGGCGAAGCATTTTTGACCCGCTCTGAAAAGGGTGTGTGTGTGCGTGTGTGTGTGTGTGTGTGTGTGTATGTGTGTGTGTGTGTGTGTAGTGCGGTCAGAGGTGACTCTCTCTCTCTCTCTCTCTCTCCCCCCCTCAGACCTTCACAGCTTGGTGTAACTCCCACTTGAGGAAAGCCGGGACAGCGATCGAGAACATTGAAGAGGATTTTAAAAATGGCCTCAAACTCATGCTGCTGCTGGAGGTCATATCAGGTGGATCTCATCAACCCACGCACACATTTATCGGCTACATACTGAGTCACCGTGGATGATTTCCTGGTTGGAAACTTTTTCTAATCCGGTTTTATCGGTTTCTTTGTACACAAGGCACATTTAGATTATCTGACACTTTCGTTGGAGATGTGATACAGATCATTATCTCATTATCTGTGCCTTTTCCCTAGTTTTATCCATCAGTTTAGCATTTTCTAAACTGTAGTAACATCTTTACTCGTTAGCATAGTTTCTAGAGATACAGGGGACACCTGTCAAACCGACTGATTTGGAAGTGGAAATGAAATGTACCACACAGACTGACCATTGATAGCTAAACAGCTTAAATAGTGAAGCTTGGTGTATACAAATCTGTTTTTCTTGGAGCTTTACATACACAAATATACTCTAGAGTCACCCTTCTGAATATGATATCATTAGGGCTTTAACTAATGACTATTGCCGTTATTAATTCATCTGCCAGTTATTTTCTACTGTCTAAATGTCAGCCACGTTGTATACAAACACATCCATCAGTTAAAAGCAGCACATCCTCCCATTGAAGAAGCAGGAGCCAGGTCAAGTGTTCATCCCATAATAGTGTTGCCTCTGCTAAATGATTTGTTTTCTCTACTCTTAGGTGAGAGGCTGCCCAAACCCGACAAAGGCAAGATGCGTTTCCACAAGATCGCCAACGTGAACAAAGCTCTGGACTTCATCTGCAGCAAGGGCGTGAAGCTGGTGTCCATCGGTGCTGAGGGTGAGAGTCCTGCTCTTCTCCCGCTGCGACCTATTCTCATCGCTTTCATGAATATTCCAAGGTCACAGCGTATTTGCATTTCTTAGACCTATGTTTGAGCTCCGGATGGTCACAGCGTCGGGAGGGTTCAGATAAGAGGAGGCAGGGAGCCGCAAGAGCTGTCATGTATTCTTTCATTTACTCTAAGAGACAACTCGTTCATTAATATATCAAATCACTTCTGCCCTTCTTGACTAATGTTGTTAGATACATCATTCAAATGATTACAAACACTCAGTGGTAACATGTTATTACTTCAAAGATGAATGATTGAATATGGTTAAAGAGACCTACAGGGAAATAAACGAAAGCGAGCAGAGGATACTGTTGCGTGTTAACTCAGGTCATTCAAACAACTGAAATGGAATGGAGCGAAAAGGTTCGACTTGAATATTTAACGCTCACATTTAGTCTCTTAAATCTCACTGAAAACTTTCCACCCCGCTGAGTTTAGTCAGTCGAACGTCAAACTCCGAAAACATTCACACCGCAGCACTTCAAAGCCACTTAGACAGTTTTCATGTGACTTCCAGTTTCTTCTCCTCTCTAATTGCAGTCAAGAATATCTCTTTGAGCCCTGAGGCCGCGTGAAGTTCAGTTAGTCTCCTCAGCAGCAGCCTCAGGGCGGACTGTTCAACCCTCACCATGTGTCCTTATTGCCCCTGATGGATCATCTGCTTGTGTTTTTGCAGAAATTACTGACGGCAATGGAAAGATGACTCTTGGTATGATCTGGACCATCATCCTGCGTTTTGCCATCCAGGACATCTCTGTGGAAGGTGTGTGTGTGTGGGTGTGTGGTGTGTGTGTGTGTGTGTGTGTGTGTGTGTGTGTGTGTGTGTGTGTGTGGTGTGTGTGTGTGTGTGTGTGTGTGTGTGTGTGTGTGTGTGTGTGTGTGTGTGTGTGTGTGTGTTGTGTGTGTGTGTGTGTGTGTGTGTGTGTGTGTGTGTGTTGTGTGTGTGTGTGTGTGATGTGTGTGTGTGTGTGTGTGTGTGTGTGTGTGTGTGTGTGTGTGTGTGTGTGTGTGTGTGTGTGTGTGTGTGTGTGTGTGTGTGTGTGTGTGTGTGTGTGTGTGTGTGTGTGTGTGTGTGTGTGTGTGTGTGTGTGTGTGTGTGTGTGTGTGTGTGTGTGTGTGTGTGTGTGTGTGGTGTGTGTGTGTGTGTGTGTGTGTGTGTGTGTGTGTGTGTGTGTGTGTGTGTGTGATGTGTGTGTGTGTGTGTGTTGTGTGTGTGTGTGTGTGTGTGTGGTGTGTGTGTTGTGTGTGTGTGTGTGTGTGTGTGTGTGTGTGTGTGTGTGTGTGTGTGTGTGTGTGTGTGTGTGTGTGTGTGTGTGTGTGTGTGTGTGTGTGTGTGTGTGAGCGTGAGCTTAAGAAGTGCTGGTAGATTAGCTCTGTTTCCATTCTTTATGCTAAGCTATGCTAACCAACTGCTCTTGTTTCATGTGTTGCCATCAGAGTGGTTTCATATTCTCAGAAAACTCCTAGCAACAATGGGAATGGGTGTCTTTTAACAAAATGTCAGACTGTTCCTTTGAACTGTTACGGGACACTTTTAACTACTACATCAGGCCCTTTCCACAAACACTACTGAAGCTGACTGACGATAATCTCCATGTCGGTCACATGAGCACAACATACAGATCGTCTTTGTACTGTCAATCACTATGTCACACTAATAAAGTGGAGGAAAAACAAGTTGATCTCTTTAGAAAAATACACTGAATTCTCCTTTTGTCTCACACTAGAGTTTCACACATCAGTCACATGGTCACTCTGCATCCTCTCATGTGTTACAGGTGTATATTTACCCTTGTGTGATTTGTGGCAGTAACGCACTCCTCTGAACTACGCGTGCTCCTCCTCCTAGCCAACCTTCATGTTGGCAGGCCGCTCGGCTCACTGTAAATGTATAAAGACTGCGACCTTGTTCGCTCTGTCCTGACCCTCAGTCCATCTTCTTGAACTCTCCCTTCATTGCTCCTGCTTCTTAATATCTTCTGCTGTCAAATATAGACTTTGCTATCTAACCTCTTCTCTCCACTAGAGCAGTAAACACAATCTGCTGTAGCTTGACTCTAAAAGCCAAGTTTGTAAACAGACAAAATCACCCCTTTTTTAACCCGATCTTGATCATTATGAAGGTTTCTTACATCCCTTTCCACATTACATCGTCTCTCAAAATGCCTTCTATTGCCTCCTTTCTTTTCCTTTCATCTGTGCCACAATGCTCACCATCCCCCCCCTTTTGCATTTCCCAGAGACCTCTGCTAAGGAGGGTCTGCTGCTGTGGTGCCAGAGGAAGACCGCCCCCTACAGGAACGTCAACGTGCAGAACTTCCACATCAGGTGGGTCTACAACGCCCGACGGTGGCATCAGCAGGGCACTGCATCCATCTTTATACTTTTCATTTATTCTCCACCTTTCACCAACTCTGTGTTCTCCTGAAAATCCAGATGCTTACCTTTTGATATGCCTCCTGTTCCTGCTTTGTCACCTACCTTTTTCCTTCTCCATTTGTCTCACGAATCCTCTCTGAAACTGTCTTTCCCCACTTCTTATTCTTCCTCCTCTTCCTCCTCCTCTTCCTCCTCCTCTTCTCGCGGCTCAGTTGGAAGGACGGCCTGGCTCTGTGCGCCCTCATCCACAGACATAGACCTGACCTCATTGACTACTCCAAACTGAGAAAGGTGCCCTGTCCTTCCTTCCCTTTTTATCCACGGATTCATTTGCTTTATTTTCTCTCTTCGTACTGAATTAAGATGTCTGACACTCCCATCTATTTCCATCTGTTCGAAGAGAAGCGTTTCTTTGCCATCCTGTGAGAATGTTCTGCACTATGCCCTGAGTGTCTGCAAGATATCTATTTCATGACCCAAGCATAGTGTTGCCACGTCAAGCGTGATACCAAACGCTGCATTTTCTAATTCACATTCATATATAATCCACTGGCTGGTATTTGCAGTCACATACAAGTACATTTGTTTAGTATAGATTTAAAAAGGAAACGTCAATACCCGTAGGATTATAGTTCTCACGTGCTGAAAATGTGAATATTTCAATTTTTTTTATTGAGCTGTGTTTTTGTTGTTGTTTTTTGTAGTCACATAGGAAAGTGCAGACATCCTCCATCCAAAATAGTTTTTCAAAAGTGTTTGAAACAGCTAAATGAGATTGACACTGAAAGACCACTTATAATACCGTTTTTTTTAACATTGTTAAATAGATTGTATACAGTGAGTGTACAAGTCTAGTGTCAGTCCTCAGCATGAACCCTAGTGTTATCCATCTTGTATTATTAGCAGTGCTGAGCTACCTGTCTGACAGTGCTCGTGTCTCCCTGCAGGACGACCCCATCGGTAACCTGAACACCGCCTTCGAGGTGGCTGAGAAGTTCCTGGACATCCCCAAGATGCTGGACGCTGAAGGTGTGTGTGTGTGTGTGTGTGTGTGTGTGTGAACCTCCTCTGCAGTAAAGTACAGTATGTGTTTCCACATGGTACGAAGGACGAGAGGTCCTTCACAATGAAGTTCAATCATTAGCATAAAACAATGCGTGAGTCACTTTAAGAGCATCCTTTGAAGTGGGGAACGTTCTCACCTCAGGTTAAATGGCTAATACATATAAACAGGGAATGATAATGTTCTGTTCTTAAAGATAATGTAAGTTTAAATAAAGAAAATCACCTTCTTAGTTAAATAAATAGCAATATCATTTTTTATTAAAATCCAAAGCTGCTTCCTAAAATATGAATGTGACTATTTGTGTGATTCCTCCTCACCACGGAGGACCTTTCTTAAGATTTATATATTTGAATATTATCTTTGCTAACTGCCCTCCTCAGATATCGTGAACACACCCAAACCCGACGAGAAGGCCATCATGACCTACGTGTCCTGCTTCTACCACGCCTTCGCCGGCGCTGAGCAGGTCAGATCTTATTTAATATTCATGTTGTTGTCAAATATTTTGTAATAAAACCCTCTTGGATCTGGAGAACATGATGCATAAAACCCTGTTTCAGCAGTTCTGGCAGTCTTCTGGAGAAATACTCATCCATGTTGCGATGATGCGTTGTAAATGTATATTAATGGATGATTACTCGCTCCCTCAGGCTGAGACAGCTGCCAACCGTATCTGCAAGGTTCTGGCCGTCAACCAGGAGAATGAGAAGCTGATGGAGGAGTATGAGAAGCTGGCCAGTGAGGTGAGACCCCCCCCCCCACAAAACATCCTCTCTAACAACACCATGATGCCCTGCTTTACACTTTGTGAGCACATGGATAGTGTGATGAAAGTCAAAGTGTAAGTTTAAAACAGCAGATAAGACGAGACACAGAAATGCTGACATTAAAGGCAATAACAATACATTCTGAAGTAGTTTCAACAAGTAGGTTTAAGTTTCTTTGAAAATAGAACCTTAAGACTTTCGTTTGTGAAGCCGGCAACAATGTCCTTGATATTTAAAAAAGACTTTTACCACAACTCAGCCTTGAGTGCTCGTACATATACAAATACACCACCTGAAAGATATATTAACTTAAGTATTTGACCTCGTTTAAATAATACAAAAAGTCCAGGATATAAAACGTAACAATAGAGACATTAATAATGGTCACGTTTCCCCCCAGCTGCTGGAGTGGATCCGCCGCACCATCCCCTGGCTGGAGAACCGCACGGCGGAGCAGACGATGCGCGCCATGCAGCAGAAGCTGGAGGATTTCCGTGACTACCGTCGCATCCACAAGCCGCCCCGCGTGCAGGAGAAGTGCCAGCTGGAGATCAACTTCAACACCCTGCAGACCAAGCTGAGGCTGAGCAACAGGCCCGCCTTCATGCCCTCCGAGGGCAAGATGGTGTCGGTGAGCACGGAGGATCTTTGTAGATCAACAGGCTTTGAATGTGTTACTACTTCCCGTGTTGCTTTACATCCCCTAAAGCCTGTCAAATCTTTCAAACCTAGATAACTCGTATAAGAATGTTCTCTACACTTCAGATACAAACTACTCACTCAAACTAAAATAAGAAGGATGGAAAAATGCACGAGAAAGAAAGGGAATACTGAAAAGTACCGAACATGCTGAGCTATGTTGAAGTCAGCCAATAAAAGCTTCACTTCATTTCCTAATAATACCGCATACTCACACTTCACTCATTTCAAATTCTCCCAAATCTACATAGATATGAAAGTGTTCTTCATTATTTACATTCTGAACACTTAATTCCCTCCAATAAGTGTCAGCAGAACCGTTGCAAGTCCCTGCTCTCAGTGTGCAGCGATGATAGAGCCTCTCTCTCCTGCAGGATATTGCCAACGCCTGGAAGGGGCTGGAGGGGGTGGAGAAGGGCTACGAGGAGTGGCTGCTGACGGAGATCCGCCGCCTGGAGAGACTCGACCACCTGGCTGAGAAGTTCAAGCAGAAGTGCTCCATGCACGAGTCCTGGACCGGAGGTAGGGCCACAGGAAGCTAGACAGAGTTCCAGGGGGCCGAGATCACACTTTAATAGATCATTACACTTCCTGGATACAATGCTGCTCTGCGTTGGACAAATTGTGAAAGTCATTGTAAAGTTTATTGAAAGATGTCATATGTACAAATATTGTGAAAAGACACAAAGTTCATCCTGTGGAAAAATATAAGAAACTCATCGTATAGTGTCAAAAAAAGTTCCAAGAAAACATGGAGAAAATAAATTAACAACTTATGTTGAAAATATGGAAAAAGTCATATCGAAATATTCGAAAAAAAGTTAAGTAATGAAAATATCTGAAATACGACATAGTATTTTATGTTAAAAATATCATGAATATATATTAAAAAGTGTTACCATGGTTTGCCATCAAAATGTATCGGTGTTGTTATTCATGAGGATAATAAACACGAGGATAATAAACCACATGTGTGTTCCAGGTAAGGAGGAGCTGCTCTCCCAGAAGGACTACGAGTCGGCCTCCCTGATGGAGATCAGAGCTCTGATGAGGAAGCACGAGGCGTTCGAGAGCGACCTCGCCGCCCACCAGGACCGCGTGGAGCAGATCGCTGCCATCGCCCAGGAGCTCAAGTAAGAGGCCGGGAGAGAGAGAGAGAGAGTCACACAGGGAACTCTAGTAGTTGATTGGCCAGCTCGTAGTCCCAGAAATGTTGAGTACCCAAAGTCTAATGTAACTGCCGGATGCTAACTTGCATGCGTTGGGCAATTTGCACATTCAGCATACGTTTCGTTAATCAGCATTCTAGCCTATGCAGATAATAGTTCAAACATGGCTTGGACGGTTTTGGACTGATCCAAAATCAGCCAGAAATGGATTCAGCGTCCTCAATTACCACTAACGCCACTTCAGTGTCCGAACAATGCTCAAAATATGCAAATTGGCATCCAGCAGTTTCTATGTGCCGGGGATCCGTCCTAAACGTTTCTAACATAACACGTTGTGCTACTCAACATGTCCGGGTTCACAGTGCTACACTCGGAGGGAGATGTGTGCAGGGACGTGTAGGAGGACAGGAGCAGGAAGCGACTGAAGAGTTTCAGGACTTCTAATTGTGGTGTTGAGAGAGATATGTGAGAGCGGGCGATGTGACCACAAAAGTAGAAAAGAGTGGAAAGCATATTAATGAGGGATAAAAAGATGAAAGGGGGATTCATGAAAGAGCAGAAACCTCTGATCTCACTTTATCCAGATTCCTCACAGACCGTTCGGATAGCATCTCTTTGATGTGATGCAGTGTTCGGCAACATAATGCTGAATATGTATGCGTGCCACACATCGGTACTTCTGAAGAAGTGTTCATGTTACTCAAAAGCAAAGTAGTTGTCCCCTGTATCGAAAGTGACCATGGCGTCCTCGTGGTCAGGTCATTGATAATACAGGAAGATGAAGCTGGAAGCCTTTCCCGTGTTTGAAGGATTCTCCGTTCCTATCAGACCCTGGCGCTCCCACACATTTCATAATCCATACAATCAACAGGAAGTGGTGTCATTACAGAACAGCTGATATCGTTCTGCTTTAGTTTGAAGACCAATCAGTGGAGTATGACATATTTTAACAAAGGGAGTACAAGTCGTCCAAATGTAGGTTTCTCCGTCTATAAATCCCACATTTAATTCGGACAAAGACCAACGTTTGAGCAGCTGAATCCAGGGTGAGATTAAAACTATAAATCAATTATAAACATGGTATAATATTAGGTTTTCTGTAAGGTACATGGAGAGATTAAAGTGAAGCAAGATAGTTCTGATGACCCCTCAAGTTCAGAATCTGGGAATAAGCCAGAACATGTAATGGCACCAAGTATTCAAATGTTAGTTACAGCTACTTGGGAGTGTTGCTTTGGGCACTCGTCTTTAAGAAGTGGCAGATGTTATAGATATTTATAAAATGCAACAAAGAAGATATTTTGTTTACTTCTAAATGTTTCTTCCTTTTTATCTCTCCTGATAATTAAAACAAAATCTCACAGCAAGTCAGAGTTTGGAATATAAAGGGCCTTTTTATATTGGTTACATTAACAGTCATTCATGCTGAGGAAATGAATCGAAGGAACTGGACTATTCTAAATATTCTGTACGTTAGATTGAAACTTTGATAGCGTATTTGTTATGGGTATATAGATGATTAATAATGCTGTGTGTGTCCTGCAGCGAGCTGGATTACCACGATGCCGCCTCAGTGAACGCTCGCTGCCAGGGCATCTGTGACCAGTGGGACAACCTGGGCACCCTGACCCAGAAGAGAAGGGACGCACTGGAGGTACAGCCCCACACAATGAAATATCAACACCCAGATCATTCATAAAATAACAGCTATTCAGTTTAATAGCTGTCCACACCTGTTATCTTGTTAATAACGGTCTCCTTTTGTGTGTGTGTGTGTGTGTAGCGTGTGGAGAAGCTGTGGGAGACCATCGACCAGCTGTACCTGGAGTTCGCCAAGAGGGCGGCGCCTTTCAACAACTGGATGGACGGAGCCATGGAGGACCTGCAGGACATGTTCATCGTCCACAGCATCGAGGAGATCCAGGTACGATACATCCTTAATGTTGATTAAACCATGATAGGTAGCTGACGCTGACTGAAGTCAGTCAATAACCTTTAGAGTTTGAATTGTGTGATATGTATTTTGAGGTAAAAGCAACACATGCTGTCCTCTGTAACTAAAGTACATATATATATATAGTAGTGTGTATATATATATAAATAAATGTACTTTAGTGTATATATGTGTATCCCATATTTGTAATTAACTTAAATTTAAATGTCTGTAATTGGGAAACAATTTAGTTAGATACTGCACATGAATGCAGCTTCACACTGATAAATGTAATGAGTAAGTAAAACCCTGACTGTGACCAACCCCCCCCCCCCCCCCCAGAGTCTGATCACCGCTCACGACCAGTTCAAAGCCACTCTGCCCGAGGCCGACAAGGAGCGCATGGCCACCATGGGGATCCACAACGAGATCCTGAAGATCGCCCAGACCTACAGCATCAAGCTGTCCGGAATCAACCCCTACACCAACCTCTCCCCCCAGGACATCAGCTCCAAGTGGGACGCGGTGAGTCACATCAAACACACCCTAGAGTCTTCGTAGGAAATCTAACATTAACTTTATTATGAATCAGTTAAAGTTTACATTATGTCAACCTAGCCTAGATCGCTCTGTGTGCTGCATTTGGTCATCTGGCTCAGAAGTTCAGTAGGTAGTACATTTAAGATACAGTGGCACTGAATACTGCAGGCTTAAAGCTTCTATCAAAAACCTAACTAGTTGATTAATTGTGTATCGAGCTGATACTCAGCTTCCACTGACTTAGTTTTAGCTAAAAAGTCAAAGAAAAGCTAATCTTCTAGTACCACAGGGTTACAGTGGTTGCATGTTTTTAGCACTAAAAACCTCAATATATTGGTCTCTCTTTTGCTGTTAAAAGAAGCGTTTGTGACGTTGGTGCGTTTGATTTCTCCGCCTGTAGGTGAAGCACCTGGTTCCCCTCAGAGACCAAATGCTCCAGGAGGAGGTGGCCAGGCAGCAGGCCAACGAGAGGCTGAGGCGCCAGTTCGCCGCCCAGGCCAACATCATCGGGCCCTGGATCCAAACCAAGATGGAGGTACAGTGACACTACACTTTAACTTGAGAATATACAACAGAGGCAGATTAATAAAGATGTTTTTATTATAGGGCATTGACAACTGTGGACATTTTCTAATATAATGTTCACCATGGTAGAAAAGTAGTAATGTCAGTTTGAAAAGGCAATACAGACAAGTAAACAGTGTTTGGAGTTGCATAACAAATAGATTTACCCATACCTGCAGAACATGAATACTTTATCCCCCCCCCCCCCGCAGGAGATCAGCCACGTGTCTGTGGACATCGCGGGCTCCTTGGAGGAACAGATGAACAGCCTGAAGCAGTACGAGGGGAACATCATCAACTACAAATCCAACATCGACAAGCTGGAGGGAGACCACCAGCTGAGCCAGGAGTCCCTCATCTTCGACAACAAGCACACCAACTACACCATGGAGGTACACTGCTGCCATGACGACCAGCGACATCACACCCTCCACCTGTTTTACCCCTTTATTAAAGTCCTGTCTTCTCTCCTCCTGCTCAGCATGTGCGTGTGGGCTGGGAACAGCTGCTCACCACCATCGCCAGAACCATCAACGAGGTGGAGAACCAGATCCTGACCCGCGACGCCAAGGGCATCAGCCAGGAGCAGCTCAACGAGTTCAGGGCCTCCTTCAACCACTTCGACAGGGTGACGCTTCATTAACACAGTCATACTAACAATGTGTGAGCTATTATCTAAACTAATACTTTGTGTCTCTTGCAGAAGAGAAACGGCATGATGGATCCAGACGACTTCCGTGCCTGCCTCATCTCCATGGGTTACGATCTGGTGAGTACAGCATGTCTCAGACCTTTGACCTGAGATCACTAATAGTGATATGAGTTATGAACTGGTGCACTGCTGCTCTCTGACAGGGTGAGGTGGAGTTTGCTCGCATCATGACTCTGGTGGACCCCAACAACACGGGCGTGGTGACCTTCCAGGCCTTCATCGACTTCATGACCCGCGAGACCGCTGAGACCGACACCGCAGAACAGGTCATGGCCTCCTTCAAGATCCTGGCCTCAGACAAGGTAAGCACACAGACTGTTAGCTTAGCCACAACATGCTACACATAGGCAGTTTCAATACAGTCTAGTTGAATACCCAAATGTATAGAAGGGTCCCGAGCAATTAGAAACTGCCGGATGCTAACTTGCATAAGTTGCGTTTATTAGCCTATGTGGACAACAGTAACCCAACATGCAAGTTAGCATCCGGCAGTTTCTAACAAAACGTTAGGGTACTCAACTATATGTGGCTACACTTACAATATATATAAGACCCTTGTCTGTGCATTATAATAACCCCCTCTCTCCCCCCACAGAACTACATCACGGTGGACGAGCTGCGCAGGGAGCTGCCCCCAGATCAGGCCGAGTACTGCATCAGCCGCATGACCAGGTACATCGGGGGGGACGGCGCCACCGGAGCCCTGGACTACATCTCCTTCTCCAGCGCCCTCTACGGGGAGAGCGACTTATAAAACACCCCCGCCTCCTCCTCACCCCTTCTTCCCAGCTATCTCTCCTGTGTGGAGAGAGCCATTTAAACCCCCTACCACCGTCCCTCCTCTTTCAAATCTTAACTTTCTTCCCCTTCCCCCCCGTCCCTCCCTCCACACCCAAAAACACTGCCCCGAGAGGGGGAGAGTGGAAGGCTTTGCTCAGATCTTAGAAGCTGTTTGGACTGGCCAGCTCCACCCGGTCAGAGTGCGGGAATTGCACTGATTATGTAAGAAGCGTACATATGACCATACCTGCCTTTAGGAGACGTGACAGACGGTATGAGGAGGGAGTCGGTCAGGATTAAAGAGCTGTTACTTTGAGCAAAGCCTCCTGCTCTCCCCGCTCTCTCTCAGATGACATCTTTTTTTGTAGAAGGTTAATTAAAGAAGAAATCGTGATTCAAAAAACAAGCTGGTTGGTTGTGTATTGTGCATGCAATGTTGACGTTTAGAAACGCTGTCTGTGTGAAACTCACCTTCATCACAAACGGTTTCCTCAGGAGCCTGAAACAGAGGTTACAAAGTCAGTCTCATACAAACTGCTGACCTGAGGAGTTAACGCTCAGGTCAGCAGGGAGGGGATGGGCCCAGGATTCAGAGAGCAAAGCACTGTGGGTAATATAGACAGGGAAGGGGACTGACTTAAGAATGAAGACAGATTGATCCCACAAACCTCTCAAAATGTAGTGGGGGGGGGGGGGGGGCACGGAGAGGTGTGGGGAAGTGAAGGACATGAGAAGGAGAATCTAAAGTGTATGTGGAGCCAATAGGGTTTGTTTCCATTGAGAGGCTGCTCTGTATGTATGATGGAGATCATTTCACCTGTGCTCCATTCTCCTCCCTAACCCATCCATAGAAACTCACCTACACACTTTAAATTAAAACTACTCAACTTGGAATAAAAAAGAACAATTATATTACTAAAGTGCAGTTGTGTTGTTTTTTCACACTAACTAATATATAGGGATAATGATCTGCTAAAGGAACTATATAAAGATAATACACCTGTCCTACCTTGAGTACGTAGTCACATGTCGGGGTCCCAGCAGAGGTGGGGGGGGAAGTCCAGGCCTCTCTCCTTGGTGAAGCGAATCCAGCGCTCCTCGTCCCCGCAGTGCGTCAGATACCTGCAGCCCATCGTCTGCTCAAAGGCACGCAGGTCACACCACAGCTGGAAGTCCTGCAGGAGGGCGGGACATGAAGGGGAACACAATATTAGACCAATCAGTTGCAGCACAATCACAGGTGAAATGTGGTATAGTTAAATGACATTCAATCTAAAAAGCAGTCCTACACTTGTCTAACAGAAGGAGGGGTGTTCATGAACACTACAGCAAGGTGATGATTATTTCTACAGAACTAATCTCCTTATAATCCTGCTCATATCAGACATATAGGTTACCTGCAGCCAGGGGTGTCCCAGAGCTTTGCCCACACTGAACCTGCGTCTGACCGACACCTGCAGCAGGTTGCTGATCAGACTCACCGCTGGAGAGAGAGAATGACAGAGAGAGACGATTTAATCAAACAGTGGATTCAAATATGACCACTGCTGCCACCCAGTGGACAACAGGAGCATTACAAGTTAGACATTGAGAGGGAAAACAAAAGCATACAGCTGAATATATATGTCTTGCATTCAAGGACCCAGACATTTAAATTGCATTATTGAGCTATCAGTCAGAAAAAACAAACCTTGGGAAAATAATATCAATTGACTTCCTGCATTACAGACATTGGTTAACCGACTATAAGTCTAATATCCCTGTCCTTAAAGAACAAATATTCATAATACAAAGAACAAATATTCATAATACAAAATTAAGTCGACCCACCCTCCAATGAGATGGAGGTCCAGGGTTGCCGTGGATACATGAAGGCTGCGTTGGTGATCTGCTGGCGGATGTCCTCGTCCTCGTTGAAGGGGAAGGTGCCGCTCAGACTCACGTACGTGATGACGCCCACAGACCACATGTCCAGAGAGCGGTTGTACCCGCTGCTGCTGATCACCTCCGGGGCGAGGTAGGCCGGCGTTCCCACCACCGAGCGGCGGAACGACTTCTCTCCGATGATCCGGGCGAAGCCGAAGTCACACAGCTTCACCTGAAACACAGAGAGAGAGAGAGGATGAGACGAGATGGAGAGGCGAGGCAGTCTGAAACACTGAAGAAAGCAGTCAGGAAGTGGCACCTGAGGGAAGGGGTCTGCAGAGGCCAGCAGCACGTTCTCTGGTTTCAGGTCGCAGTGAGCGATGTGTTTGAGGTGCAGATACCGCAGAGCCTCCAGGATCTGAAAAACACACACACACATTTTTTATTAAACATCTAATGACCTCTCTAAACAATTTTTTAACCCCATCAGGTCCTTTTCTTTAAGTTGGGAACAGCTGTCTTTCAAGATACCATAAATGAATATGATTCTAAAAACGCCTCCTTGTATAGATGGGTGATGGTTGTTACCTGGGTGACGAGGAAGCGGGTGTTGCGTTCAGGGAGCCGGCCTCTCTCACTGGACAGGATCATCTCCAGCATGTCTCCATGGAGCTTTTCCATGACCACAAACACGTACTCCACCGTCTCAAACATCCCCTCCAGCAGGACCACGCCCAGGTGGGACAGATTCTGGACACACACACACACACACACACATTAGATGACAATGCAGATGATGTGATGATGACCTCAGAGTGCAGCAGCCTCAGTACCTGCAGGATGGCCACCTCGTTCCTCAGCTGCGTCTCCTGTTTGGTGGGGAAACGCGTCTTGTCGATGACTTTGATGGCGACCGGCCGACCCGACATCCTGTGAGTGCCTGAGGAGGGACAAATAAGTCACTTATATAACTTTTAATCTTTTTTTACATCGGGTTTAAAATAAGTCTTCCATGGAAATCATTCTAGAAAACAATAACTATTACATTTTTCTCTAGTTAGTCAATATTACATAGATTTTAGCAGAAAAAAAAGGAGGGTTTTAGTTAATTAAATAGCAATACTTTAAAGCCTGTGATCATTCAATCACCTTTGTAAACGACTCCAAACTGACCCGAGCCCAGAACCTCGTCTGTGGAGATCTGATACACCGAGCTGATGTCCTACACACACACACACACACACACACACGTTATCACCGCACTACACACTACGGTATGAACCATGAATTCACTGTGATTAATTACGAATAATAAAAATTCTGAAGTATACAAGTTGTTCCTTACCATGCTGTCTCTTCGGGAATCATTATCTGTAATCACAGAACAAATATATTTAAGAAGTTATTCCTTTGTTTTAAAGTCTGTTTCATTAGAAATCATATTTTTAACCTGTTAAGCCCCGAGCCTGTTTTTCAGGCCCGAAAAGGACATTCCCAGAACAAATGACTATATCTTCACTTCTAAAAGGGGTACATTAATAATTTCTTTTCTCAAAGCAATGATAAACCTGTGAGTTGGATGTAGAAAATTCAGAATCAATATAGCATTTTTCTATTTTAAAGTAAATTCAGATTGAACATAGTAAAGAATGTAAATTATAGTGTACGTGAAAACCACCCTTGAATAAAAGCTTCAGGAATCCAAACTATAACATATAATAAGTACCCTGTATCAAGATTGATGCAAAACAAGTGACATTTGACCTTTTTTGACACATTGGATTAACCTTCAGTAGCGTTTTTCTCGTTTTAATGCCATTGAACGCAACTTTTGATCAGAAAACAACAAAGGTAAGACGTTTTGGCCGTTTTGGCTCCGTAAAGCTAATTATTTTGTTTGTTGTTGTTTCACCGGGAGTTCTGATCGCTCAGTGATGAGACTTATATGTCTGGAATCTGTGGAATCTCAGCTTGCTAATCGATATCTTGTTTGTGCAGATCCGATAAGTAATAAGAGTATTTTAAGGTGAGTTCTGTGCTAAGTGCGTCATTTTTTCCCCGCTCAGGGCTAATTCAGAGCCTTTGTTATTACCCTTGTGTTTTGTTTTGCTAAAAATGGTTAATATTGTCTGAAAGCTGAGTTTCTTCCCGTTAAGTGGATATGACACATTCATAGTTTATTAAATGGTAAGTAGCCCTCAGACGCTGTTTCTTGCAAGATGTTGCGTTTTGCCCCAGCCCGCGGGGCCGTGGGGTGTAACTGGTTTTAACCATATTTTAGTTTTAAAAACCCTGATATTGTTCACTATTCACATTAACTTAAGAAATACAATCTGAATTCAATGGGATTAGTTTTGAGTTTGTTTCAACACACAGATTTTGAGTGATATTAATAAAGGAAAAACATCATCTTTGTAACACAAACTCTAAAGGCTGTATGTTCTTGTTACATCCCATAATGACCCTCTCTCACCCTGCTCCTCCCCCCCCCCCACGCTGCTCTGCACCGGCATCAGGGCCTGGCGGATGGCGCTCTCCCAGACGGACGCTTCATCTCCGGCCGCCACGCAGAACACCAGCGCCGCCGTCTCCACCTCCAGGGTGTGCCCGCTGTTGCCTGGCGACAGGGAGAGGTGGGCGGGGCCTCGGACCTGCAGCACCTCCGAGAGACTGATCTCCTGCAGGGGGAACACATCGGGTTATTATCTCCATCCTTAGTATGATCTCCTCTGGGCTCTGGAAACCTTCATTGATATCTTTAAATATTGGATAAGACTTTGGTGTAATGAGTCTAATGACTGAACAATGGAAGGCGGTCCCTAAATAAATTACAAAACGGAAAGACAGGGTTTGACAGATACTGATAAATCACTAACCCAATAAACTAAGTCATTATAGTTCAAAGGGTTAGGGATCTATTTGAATTCATTGTTTTTGTATTGATTTCTTTCACAAGGTACGAGTGTGATTGATCCCACTGAATGCTCAGTTCTGCACCTTGTAGAACTTGGTGCTGCTCTCGTTCTGATACAGAGTGATGCTCTTCCAGTCCACGATCCAGTAGTGACGCTTCCTCTGAGAGACACACAGTATGTGGAGGGTTAATGGCTTTGATCACGGTGACGCATTACAGCAGTCTCTCCGACCTTCTGTCAGAGTGGTCCACTTGTTTCATTTAGAGCTCACATTTATGTATGACTGTATTTGGACTAGCATCAAATAGTGTTAGCAGTTAAACCTCATTTCTAAGTGATGTTGACAAACACATATTTGTCATACTTTCCAAATGTGCACGGAAAATGCGAAAAGGTTAATTGTTCAAATGTATCTGCCACTTTGAGTTGTATTGTGTATTACTGTTGTAGTGTCTTCACCCAAGCACACACGTCCCTAGTTCACATATCCACAGCAGGTATAGTGTGTGTGTCTCACCAGTGTGTCGGTGTTGGTGTGGTGCAGCAGCCAGCCCTCCCTCAGGACCCCCCCCGCTCTCCTCTTGCTGTGATGCACCGACTGCACCAGCCTCATCAGGGGGATGTAGCTGCTGAAGCACGGACTGACGGAGGAACACAAGAGAAGGAGATTTAAAAACTCAAAATAAAGACTTTCTAAACGCTCCTCATGATGTCACCACTCATTGAAGGAGTCATGCAGATGTGATATTGATGTAAAACAGGGAGATGAGTGTTGTCATGACGCTGTCTGGTGCTATGGGGGTTATTCCCTGTCTTTACTTATTTAGGGCGACTGTGGCTGCGAGGGAGTGCGGTCGTCTTTCAACCAGAAGGTTGTGGGTTCGATCCCAGCCCGTGCAGCCAACATGTCGATGTATCCTTGGGCAAGATACTTAACCCTGAGTTGCTCCCGATGGCTAACGGTGTGTGAATGTGTGTGCATGTTAGGTCCTAGAGTAACATACACTGCTCTGTATGAATGGGTGTGAATGGGTGAATGACATGTAGTATGTAAAGCGCTTTGAGGGGTCTTAAAGACTGGATAAAGCGCTATATAAGTACAGTCCATTTACCATTTATTCAAGAGCGTGGTATTTAAATTTGAGAGCATACTTTATGTATTTATTTCCCTCAAACCCTGTCCTCGCACTCAAATAGTGCCTGCTTGCACTTAGATGTGCTCTGCTTGTGCTCAAACTGTACGCTTGCACTCAGATATATTGCTGTTTACAGATTTTTTCTGCTCTCAGATTTATTCTGTGCGCGCTCGAAACTTTTGTGCAACAATCCTGTCAAAATCCCTCAACCAATAGGAGGCCTGGTGTTCTTGCGGGTGCGTTCGCTTTACTTATTACAGCGTCCCGTAAGGGCGGTTTAACCCCCAGCAGGATGACATCATCAGAGTGTGACCTCTGACCTCATGGCCTCCCGTGGCTGCTCGTCCTGCTGGCCCTCGGCGGTGGATTCTCCGTCGGCGAACATCTCCTCCTCCGAGGTTTCCACCGTGCTGAGATCTGAGTCATCGTCCTCCGGGTCAGCAGGGCAGCTCTGACCCACCGCTGGGGATTCTGGGAAATTGACATCATGTGCAGAAGATATTAGGGATGCAACGTGTGATTATCTAGACAAACAGTGGCTAAGAGTCTATAGATTAAAAATCACTTTCTGTTAACACATGTATTCACTCATTCCAGACAAGATGGACACCTTCAAAAGTGGCATTACAAATAAGAGTGATCTAACAGAAGCATAGTATGTTGAAGAATAATGAAATAGAATAGAATAATATGTTGAGAAGAGTCATAGACTACGTCAGAAATATAAAATAATAATTGACAAAAATCTGAAAATAATTGTATATTATATGCAAAAAAAAGTATAGTATATTTCTAATAAGATTATTTGTATTACATGATATCAGAGTATGTTCAAAAATATCATGAAATCACTCATAGTATAGTGGAAAATAGTCCAAAGTATATCATGTCGACAAATATGTAAAAAAGTGATAAAGCATGTTGAATATATCATAAATAAAAGTCATTGTACAGGATGTCAAAACAAGTCATACAGTAGTAGCCTATAGTATGTTGACATTTAAAAATAAATGTTATATTATAGCATGAATGAAAGTCATAGATAAGCATTTCAAATAAGTATGTAAAAAAAGAATACGATAAAAAGAAATGATATAGTGGTTGGAAACAAGTCATAGTTGTTAAAAACTCACCCTCCCCGTTGGCGGCCCTCCTCTCTCCGGGACAGTCTCTGGGGACGAGCAGCTCGCAGCGCCGATGGCAGTTAAACCTGCAGTCTGAGGAGGAAACAACAACATTTATTATTGTTTCATTTTGGGACACACCCCAGGCAGTAACTCAAATCAAACTAATGGCTACACAAGAGTGTTTCTGAACCTGTAATCCACAAACAGCTCGTTAAAGCCCGGATGCTGAGGAACAGAGCATCTCAACATTATGTTTTAATATATTACATGACCCATCCCTGAAAGTAGGCTTTAAAACACGTGTTGTTTAAATAGCTGAAGTCGACAAGATGAGGAAGTGGAAGTTCTTTAAAGCTCATGTAGGCTTCTTAAGTTAGCTCTATCCACTGAAGAAGACCATGCGTCTGAAAGTGCCTTGACTTGATGTTAAATATCCTTCTCTTATGTTGTGCTGTTGTTTACCCGAGGAATCCCTTCTTTATGTTTTTGTTGCTGATAAAAGTGTGATAATGCAACAAATGTTAGCATTGTATCCCAGATGAGACACCAATGTGGTATTTCTGAGGCCAATATGGACATGTTGTTTAGCAGTACAGTATGTTCAAACAAATTGAAGCTGTTGACCAAAGGAATCTGCTAGTTATTTATCTGTTGCTAATTTAGCTTAAACAAAAGTGCAATAATGCAAGACATCGAGTGATGTTGGCTCTTTGAGGCGGATACGGACATTTTAGAGTGTAAATAACCAAAAAGTGAGTAAATGATCTATATCCTATTCATTACTGTAGAGTTGTAGTTTCTCTTGTCTTTAGTACTCCAGTTGTAACTGTATCCCAGTTTGCCTTATCACCATGTCTTTAGACCGTGCAGTTTGCAGCCCCACACTGACCTGAGCACTGCAGGCCCTGCCTGAAGAGCCCCCTGAGCAGCCGGTGGCAGTGCTGGCACACGGTGGGTTTGGTGTAGCTGTGGATGTGGAAGGTGTGAGGAACCTGAGCCGGGCTGGAGTCCCCGTACCCGACCACCAGCCACACCGGGGCCTCGGCCCAGGACGGGGGTCTGGAGGAGGGCTTCGTCATGCTGATCTGGAGAGGCGGAGATTCAAAGGCTTTACATCATTGTGTCTATCAGCCCAACAGTGCAGCATACATATACTTAGGATACTTTAAAAGAAAGACATACAAAGTGCAAAAGAAGTAAAAATGCAGGAATAAGTCAACTATGTGAATGTCAAATAGAATAAGATACAACAGAATGTAAAATGAAGTACTGTGCAGTGATTCTAAACAGATCTATGTGCTTTAAACTAACCCAAATAACAATGTTATGTCCCGTGGGTAATCTAATGGCCTGAGAGCGGCAACAATGATCTTTTGTTACTGTAAATAAAGCAGTAAAATGCGTTCAGAGGGTTCCAGTGACTGTGTAGGAGAGAATGTTCCTCACCTCCTCCAGACTGCCTCCTGCCTGGTTGGACAGGGAGTGTGAGCGGGGCCGCCGGGGGGGAAACAGGGAGAGGCTGGTGCTGACCTGTCGACGAGCCCGACTGCAGTCATTGGGCAGGAGGAAGGCACAGCGCTTATGGAAGTCTAACCCACAGCCTGCACACAGGGGGGGGGGGGGGGGGGGGGGGGGGGGGGGGGGTTATACTGTATACTGAGGATTTGACATCGGACGCTGGAAAAGACACATTTTTGCACCACATTTCCTCACGCTGTAAAGAGGTTAGTTTTTGGACCTGACTCAGCAGGGGGTGTGGCTTACCGTCACATTTGAGTCCCTGTCGGACGAGGCCCCACAGCATCTCCCCACAGTGGTGGCAGAAGGTGGGGGTCCGGTACGAGTGGACCACCAGGGAGTGGGGGCGGATCCTCATCTCAGTCACTGTCGCTGATCCTGAGTCAGATTGGAATAAAGAGAGATATTAAAGTGCGATTACGCCACTGATTTATGGCAGAGTGCTACTCAGAAATATCCCGTGGAATCAAAAATACTTGGACAGAGGTTTTTTAATCATGATTGCTTCCATTTCTCTTAAATTACAAATTGATAGCTAGAAATAAAGTGCAAATTATGTAACTTTACGTTATCTTACAAAACATCTCAGAATATTTTGATTGTACTTTTTGAAACGTTTGGGATTGAAATGACTTGAAAACAACTAATAACTAACTGAATGATAATTGTAATACAGAAAGTGTTTCTCCTGGCTCTGAGCTGTTGCCCACCTGCGATGATGACCTCGATGAGGTCTCCGTCCCGCAGCTCGTCTTCGTCAGTGAGGTGCTGCAGCAGCTGCTCTGAAGAGGAGTCATGTCTGAAGAGCAGCACCTTCTCCCCGAGGCCGACCACACTGCACTCTGGAGCCTACACACACATCACACACACACACACACACACACACAACACAAACACACACACACACAACACAAACACACACACACACACACACACACCACACACACACCACACACACACACACACACACACACACACACACACACACACACACACACACACACACACACACACACACACACACACACACACACACACACACACACACACACACACACACACACACACACACACACACACACACACACACACACACACACACACACACACACACACACACACACACACACACACCACACACACACACACACACACACACACACACACACACACACACACACACACACACCACACACACACACACACAATGTTAAGACTGTAAGAAACACTTAGTAGATAAAGTAGATACGAGAAAAAACGAAATACAATTTGAGAGTGATTCATCTTAGTTGCAATGCTATCATCTAATTTTAGTTTAGTTCTATCTGGACACATTAAAGCAGTGGATACATACGATGTACACTATAGCTCAATATTGACCAAAAAGTCTCTTTCTCCTGTGACCCTTTGGGAAATGTTTAACTTGAACTGAAGGATTCTGAAACATCAAGAACGTAAACAAATATACGATGTGTTAAAAGCTATACAGCATATCATTACTGTACTGTATGGAGAGTCCTCCTCCGACTTATGTGGATTAATCCTCCCTGTGGACGATGGTTTTCATAAGCATGTATTTTATATGTTTCTTCTAAATACTTGTTATATTTAGCATCTACTGCAATGTTTATACTACATGTTGTTTGGTAAACACGAAGAGCATCTATATGTTTTCCTTCACTACCGTTTTGTGTCGATGCAGCCGTTTTATGTCGGTTAGTGTGCAGTCAAACACATTCTTCAGACGGGCTGACCTGCTGCCTGGAAACTGAAGCAAAGCCTCAAGTCAAAAGAAGTGTGTGTGTGTGTGTGTGTGTGTGTGTGTGTGTGTGTGTGTGTGTGTGTGTGTGTACAGCGGGGGGGGAGGCCGTGGTTGGAAAGTTTGCTGTGCTCTTGTCGACCACAAAGTCCCTGAGAGTGAGGCAGTGAGAAGACCAGAGGACAACACCTGCATCGTCTAACCCCAACTCACTTTGAACCGACCGAGTGCAGATTTCAATGTTACCATCACAAAGAGGATTGGTCCTGTTTTTAGAAATGCAGTTTGGTGATATCGAGGGTCTGAATGTATGTTGTGTCAAATCAAATCTTGAGTCTGGTTGTGTTACACGTGCCTGTCATGTAGCCGACTTAAAAATATCTAATTTAAGATAAGATGATAAGATTTCATCCCAAATGGGGAATGTTAAATGTAAATGGACGTGGAATGCTTTAACCGTCGGTCAAATCAGTTGCGAGTACGTGTATTACACTACAGCTGAAACCCGCACAACATCCTGCTCCCTCAGTGAAATGAGAAGAAACTATACATAGCAGCCTAGTCCTCCATCATGCATGTGGTGACCTTCACTTCCTCAAAACGTCCCCTAAACATCAAAGTAGGACTTTCTTTGAAGCAGATTTTCAGTCCAAGATGAACTACTTTTATTACTGACAACGCTTTTCAGGACCTTGTTCTTCATAGTTTGAAGCTGCTGGAAATCTCCACTGCAGCAGATATGGGTTCATGTCTGATCCACTGCATGGTTACCCTTGATATACTGCAGCACAGTGGCATTACATGAGACCTCCACCTCACCTTGCGCTCGATGATCTCCGCAGCGAGCCTCCTGGCATGGCGGTAGCTCAGGTTTCCAGCCGGGACTCGAACCACCTCCCTGAACAGGCCGAGCTGGAACTGGACCAGAGCCGGGGCCGAGACACTGCTGGGGCTCGAGGGGGGTGCTGCGGACATGGAGGAAGATCCTGAGGACACATGGGATTAGATTAAGAATGACGTGCAGATTTGAATTGGAGTTTTTCATAAAAATTGACAAACTCGAAATTAAACAGAGAAAAAGTAGATATTTGTCTAAATCGTGTCTCAAAAGAAAGCAAATGAGGCCTTATGGACTTTTGATTGGGAATAAGCTTAAAAAAATATCTGAGGATGTCATTTGTATTTCTTTTTTGGCAGATCAACTTTCAGAACCTCAAATTCTTCCTGTTTGTATTAAAGGAATCACTAGTGACAAAGTAAGTGACACATTTCAAGTAGCAAATATATTTGTACCACTAAAATGTGATATTAAATACTTATAAGTGTAGAAAACATGATAGGACACGTCTAAAAATACAGTATGAGCAAGATATCAGGTGACAGAGTTAATTCTCTTAAGCTTGAGTTAATTAAAATGTAAAATTGTGAAAAAACTGAACATTAGTAACCTTACTTAGTAACCCTGGTCCCGAGCTCCGATCTGTCCCCACCAGGATAGTATCTCAACGATGAGACAGCTGATCCCTCTCTCATTGTGCTGCAGATTCTCGGCACGGTGGGTTTGGTTTCCTATTTGCGGGGCTCGGCTGCGATGACACAGGAAGCTACAGAGCGAGACGCTGCAGCGAAACCCCCCCCCCCCCCCCCCCCCCCCCCCCCTCCTCTGTGAAACTCACACACTTTGAAATGGTCAAATTATAAGAAATAAAGGAGGCAGAATCAGTTTGAAAAGTGGAGTTTGTATTTATTGAACCTTTTGATAAAATACACATTGGGTTGGCCCCTTCACAATGACACCCAGTATAGCACACACACGTGACCATCGATCTAGAACATTTGCCATCTGAGTAAAAACTCCACACAGGGAAATCTTTCAGAACATTTACAACCATAGCCGTTTTAGATTATTGTGCTTAATATTTATGGAGCTATTAATACACAGTCAGACGAATTACAGACGCTTCCAGCAAACCAACCCAGAGGTGAATACGTGATGATCGGTAGAGTGCTCAGTGTTACAGTCAGGAAGTAGACTAGTCCTACACATTATCATTCTGATGTGAACAAACATATAAAGGATTGCTCTGTACATTATTCGCTGCGGACACTTAACGCACTTTTCCTCCCGCAACGTCTTTCCATAGCATTTCTTTGTTCTGCCTCAACACTTACTGTAGGCCTTCTTTCCTTCATGCGTTCACTTCTACATTACGATCTAAAACCCGCACCACGGCGCACAATCAGAAGCTGACAGATCAAGCACTTTCATTATTTTGGAGTCAGCAATGTGACGTCATCAAAAGGTGATTTTGAGAAAGGGCCGGAGTCAGGTTGTTGGGGAATTTGGCGATGGTGTGCATGCACCGTCGTGGACAAAATGCAACAATCCTGCATCCTCCCGTCTTAGAAATCTAACTCAGATTGTCAGGAGTTTCCCTTTCTACGAGTAAACAAAGACAAACGTACACATGATGCAAACAAAGTTGTTGTTCTTGACAATCTGATCCCAGTTGAAGCGACGCCACAACTTGCCGAGGCCAAACTCGAGTTCGCATGATAACACGCGTACATTCTGTGGACAGTTCTCTTGGTATTGGTCTCATTTTTGGTGGAAACAGCACAATACAGACATCCGGTGTGAAAGCCACCGGATCCCACAATCGATATGTAATTGAACATTCAAATGATTATCAGTACCTTTAACATAAAAAGCTCAGATCAAAAACAGGAAACACAAATCATCAGGAGGGAAAACACGTGACACTGAGGATTGTTCCGTAGAAAACGATACAGGGGGAAACCGTTCACAAGAGGAATACATGAACACGCTGTTGATGCACTGCACCAGCTTTGATAAGATAGTTACCCTTATTCCTACATTAAAAAAGAAATATTTGCCTTCAGTAGCTTTCAGACTTATGGCAGTAAGCCTGGACGTGTTTTGTGAGGACCTGAAAGTAGTGTTTTATTCAACAGTAGGTAGTATTGAGGAGACATTGTAAATATAATTTCAAATGAACTTTCTGACACTTTCATATCAAAGTTTAAAGAATGACTGATATAAACATGACCAGCAGAGGGCGCCGTAGGGGCTCAAAGTGCATTACGACTAAACTGAACCATGAGTCAGCAGAATTCAGCGATTGAGGTACTTTTTAGGAACTTTTCATATTTCTTTGTTTTCCAGTCCTCCCCCTTTTAGATAAGAAGTATTTTCTTAGACCCAATGAAGTGTAAACCAAAAAAAAAGTGCACTATTTACAAGGAAAGAAACATCAAATAATTTAAAACTGTATATACATAAAACAACAAGAAAGGCAAACAGTGAGGTTTACATGGTTAGTGCTAATTTTGAAAAATCTTCTTAAATACCTCTGCTATCCTCGTTTAAATCAAAGCGGACGGAACCATTTGGACCGTCTGTGATATGCATGGAATGGGCGGTTAGCAATCGGGAGATACTCCATGCTACTGGTGAGATATACAGAGTGCAAACGCTCCTCTCTGAACTGGAACCGGAGTACATTTAGCCTACGAGTGTCTGCACACTAAACACGGGACTCATCACGATGTGGATATACGCCACGGTGCTAAAACACGATGCGTTCAGGTGCAGACATTCCACCGTCTAGTAAGCAGCATGCTGATTAATGTGTATCTAAATATTCTCTTTAGTGATTGATGGCAGCGTTTTGTACAGCGAAGCAGCGACCGTGTCTAAACAGGATGACGCTACGTGAGGTGGTGTTTTCTCTCTCTCAGTGTTCTTTAAAAAATATGCTGCAGGTGCAAGTGTCTGATCTCGCTTTAGAGTGTGGATCAAACCAAGCTGCAAACAGCCTCTCCTCAGTCCCGCCTCCTCTCTCGGCCTAGCCAATCAGGGAGCTGCGTCTGGATAGGTCCACGTTGCTGGAGCTGAGTCCCCTGCAGTCCGAGAGGCCGGGGGGGGCGTCCTAAAAACAGAACAGTAAATGTTATAACTTCTGTTGGACATTGTCAGGTAATTACTATATTATATTTTTACATTTTGGGGATAATTGAACTTCGTACCTGTGTGGTCTCCTCAGTGCTCTTGTTGAGGAAGTTGAGGGAGCTTGCTCTCTTCATTCTGAGGAAAGCATCAAACAATTAGCCTAAAGCATTTAAACATCATGTCAGAATAATGTCTGAGAAAAACAACCAGTAGTTTATTTACTCCTTCGTAAGTCTCCTTACTTACAGTTTTGAGAGATCTTATCGTAACACGCTCCAATACTTTTCTTAAATTCAGAAATACGTCACATTATGATTTTTAAAGATAAGTGAAAGTAACATTTTTACATTTTTCTAAAGCTTTCAGCCACATCCACTCCCTTCTGTAGCTCATAGAGGAGGTCCAAATATGTTGACCTTAAAATAACCAATAATAACATGACCTTTAAATCTCATTGGAAATCGTCGGACAAAAAAACGATTTGAAAAGACGGCTTATATTCCCCCATTAGCTGCAACATTTAAGTAGCTATTCGTCCTGGGCTCTGCATTACTTTTTGGAATGTTACATTTTAATGAACAAAATCATCATTAGCACAATTTAAGTCATTCGTTACAGCCTAACTCCTAACAGCTGACTATGTCCACGTGTTCGCAGTGAGTGTGAAGTTACCCTGGGTTCCGTGGCTCCTGAGGCCCGCTCCCCTGCAGCTTCTTCACCAGCATCTCGCTGCTCCTCCTCAGGGCGTCACGGATCTTCCCGAAGGAGCCGCTGCGCCGCAGAGACCCGTTCCCATCCTGAAGGGAACATGAAGCAGAACACCAAGTCAGCATTTACTGGACACATGGAATATTAAGCACACTTCCTCTGGCTCCCTTCTCATGTTTGATCACAGCTTTGACACTTGTACATTTAATATGACTTGTGTTGATCGTGTCCTTTACACCACGATCTTATTAAAACATGGATTAGTGTTACAGTTATCAATTAGTGTCCATACACTGACCCCGTTCCACTCCGCGGAGTCCTCGCCCTCGCTCTGCCCCCGCGGCCCGTTGATTCCCTCCCTGCTGTGTCGTCTGTCCCCCCCTCCGCCCCCCCCGTCCTTCAGCAGCTCCACCACCTTACTCTGGTTAATGGCATCGATTCCCTGAAAGACAGAGACACAAAAACACAAAGATCAGAGAGAAAAGTACAGCTTCTTCACACAATGGCCGCACAGCAGGTCTTTATTACAATGTACACACATTAGCTCCATGACTGATCTGTAAATCATACTTTATGGGCGTATAAATCTCCGCTGGACGCCTGTTCAACTAATCAGGTTTCTCAACTGAAAGGGCCCAGACGACTAATCTAACAGCAGTAACTCAGCAGTCTGTGTGTGTGTCTGTGTGTGTGTGTACCTGTTTACGGGTCTTGCTGGCACACTCCTCCAGAGTTTCGGCCGCCTCCAGTTTGCCCTGACGACGGTACAGAGCCCCCAAGCTTTTCAGGGTTGTGTTCACTGTGGGGCTGAGAAAGAAAACGCACACAAAAAAAACAATGTTATTTATGTATTCACTTGTTTAATCGCTTGTATTTATCTTCAATTTAGCATCTTTGTCAATAAAGCTAATGACATTTTCAAACAAATCATTATTTTTCTCAACTAGATTACATTTTTAATGAACTGTTAAACTCAAATTGGTTTGAGTTTGACTTTTGTTCTCCTGGTACAAGGAGTATATTTGTACTATATTGGCGTCCTTAATCTTGTTATTGATACAGGGTATTTTTTTCGTTGTAATGGTCTCTCTTGATAAACGACAAAAATATTTGAACACATTTACAGCCTGGTCATATGAAGACAGACTCAATTAAGTCAGACAACCACAAGTACTCCAAAGATCATTACAATTCAACTGTATTTCAAAGTTTTATCGTAAATAACTGTTATTTTCTTCATGATTGTTTGAATGTTTCCACTGAATTTAAACGTGTGACTCACCTGTCCACCTTGCAGGCCTTGTACCAGCTGCCATACTCTACATACGGGCCCGAGTCCTTACGTTTACCCTGAGAGAGAGAAAAACAAGAGGAAGATAAAGATAGAAAAAGGCAGAGAAGTCATGTTTGAAACATTACACCATCAAAGCTTGTAAAACATGTCCCTGTTGTAATCTTTATAGTCTGCTGTTCGCCCTCATTACGCTGATCAGTCCCTTTCTATATTAACCTGCCTGCCAGACCCGGGGATGAACGGAAAACATCAACGTTTATCACTGACCTTGCTCTCCTCTCTCTCCTCTGCGTGCATCCAGATTGGTTTGTTGTCATCTGCAAAATGAGGACCAAAGAATATCAGAAATGTTCTTTGACGGACAGGATTCACTTTACGAGGTGATAGCAGAAACAAAACAAATAAGGAACATAACACATGGCTGAAAAGATATCAAGGACCCTTTGAATGACCTCAATTTTAAAGTGAAGCTTCTCTATCCATATATTAAGGAAATAACAGTCTTGAATTAAAACCCATGCATTGCCACATTCCTGTCTGGCCCTCATAAGGGTTTGATAGGCTTAGAGCAGCAGAGGGACATTAAGCCTCTCCACACGCTGCCATGGCCCCAAATAATCCTCAGATCCGCTGAGAGGACTGAGGGCCACGGGAGAACCATGGCTGTGCACAGACCACAACAAGAATCACAAAACATAGCAATTTGTCAGAGGAATAGAAATGGGGATAGTCATGGATATATTCTGTTGTGAAATCAATCATTCTTCATGCCAAAAAGCCTTTAAAACCCTCTGAGACCCACAGGGCTGTATACGATCCCAAATATCACGTTGTGTTCAAAGTGTCATAACCAGAGACATGCTGTGTTTTTCCTCTTAAACTACAGAAACGGCAATAAACAACTCTATTGAGTTTTTCATTGAGAGGCGCTTACTTATTTCGGTAAAACGAATGTGCGTAAAGTTTTAAAAGATGCGGATAGTCTCACCTTGATTCTGGCGCATTGCTTATCGTTTTGTATGTTTTATAGGTCTATTCCAAGCCCCCAGGAAGTGCGCCGGACTCTGAGGAAAATATTCGTTGTGGCCAAACGGCGGTACTACACTTCCGTATCAGTCGCTGGGCCCGGAAAGACTTTTTCCCATTGACTAACATTGGGAAAGAGACGTCTGTAAATCGTTGGATAATTTTAAACTAAATAAACTACCAGGTATGAACATTTGCATAGCCCTTAGACATTCGGTCCTCAAGTTGTAAAATGTCCTAATAATGTTATTCTGAGAGTTATTTTCCTCGGCATTATGAACGCGGATCCAACCCACCGGACCGCACCGCCCGGCACGTTCATGTGACGTGTTCAGTACTACATGAGTTTTACCTTTACCCATGGATGCACAATAAGAACGGATTATATGATTATATGAATACTTTCGTGACGTTTCGCTCTCTCAAAAGTTGGGCCATTTTGTCTTCATGCGGCAATGAGCAACTCTCATAGGAATGAACGAGGCCCCGCCTCCCACGCTGTATCCAGTTCTTATTATACATCCATGGTCTATTCTCATCCACCATCTTTGTTGTGACGTAAAGAGTGTAAGAGTCACGTTTCTGAATCGGACACTCTGAGTGGATGCAGTCACAGCCAATCGGAGTCTGATTCAGATTCAGTTCCGTTGTTTTGTGAACTGAAACGAGAGCCGGTATAATTCCACGCGCGAAAAACAAAATCAAAGTTGGAATACGTTCTTTTAGTGTCTTGAAAGTAAACTGAGGTATGGCAAGGAAGTTTACTACAGCTGAGGCTTTGGAGCTGATTTTTCAAGGGGACGATGTCGATGAAAATTCAGACGAATCTGCTCACCATGCCATGTGTGATTGTGGACAGGAACTACCATGATATATATCATGTGTAGTCTTGACAAAAAAAAAGACAATTCCTGGCAAAAGAACGCCCATGTACACTGCCCAAAAGAACTCCCATGGACACTGCCCAAAAGAACTCCCATGGACACTGCCCAAAAGAACGCCCATGGACACTGCCCAAAAGAACGCCCATGGACACTGCCCAAAAGAACTCCCATGGACACTGCCCAAAATAACTCCAATGGACACTGCCCAAAAGAACGCCCATGGACACTGCCCAAAAGAACGCCCATGGACACTGCCCAAAAGAACTCCCATGGACACTGCCCAAAAGAACTCCCATGGACACTACCCAAAAGAACACCCATGGACACTACCCAAAAGAACACCCATGGACACTGCCCAAAAGAACACCCATAGCCACTGCCCAAAATAACTCCCATGGACACTGCCCAAAAGAACGCCCATGGACACTGCCCAAAAGAACGCCCATGGACACTGCCCAAAAGAACGCCCATGGCCACTGCCCAAAAGAACTCCCATGGACACTGCCCAAAATAACTCCCATGGACACTGCCCAAAATAACTCCCATGGACACTGCCCAAAAGAACACCCATGGACACTGCCCAAAAGAACGCCCATGGACACTGCCCAAAAGAACGCCCATGGACACTGCCCAAAAGAACTCCCATGGACACTGCCCAAAAGAACTCCCATGGACACTGCCCAAAAGAACGCCCATGGACACTGCCCAAAAGAACACCCATGGACACTGCCCAAAAGAACGCCCATGGACACTGCCCAAAAGAACACCCATGGACACTGCCCAAAAGAACTCCCATGGACACTGCCCAAAATAACTCCCATGGACACTGCCCAAAAGAACGCCCATGGACACTGCCCAAAAGAACTCCCATGGACACTGCCCAAAAGAACACCCATGGACACTGCCCAAAATAACTCCCATGGACACTGCCGAAAAGAACGCCCATGGACACTGCCCAAAAGAACGCCCATGGACACTGCCCAAAAGAATGGGCATAACTAATGAACAGAAGAAGTTAGAATCTTCTAATCAGTTCTGATACAATGATAATACATGTGTGCAATTGTCTGTGTTGAATGTTGTTTTCAATGTTATGGTTAGCAGTTATTTTAATGAAATAAGTACAAAATGTAAGCTCTGTTTAAAAAAATAGTTTTTTTAAATGTATGGGCTAATATCCCATATTATATTGTATATAAGTCTCTAATGAGTGACATATATCATTAGCTGAGGTTGTGCTGATTTATTTGTATTATACTGTAAAGAAATTACAATTTATAAGGCAAAACACAAACATTTACAAAAACGGAAAGGTCCTATGTGGGTCTCAGAGGGTTAAGGAAACAAATGTCCCCAAAAAACATTAAAACACTGAGTTCGTTTTTCTTTTGATCAAGTTTTCAACTTGGCATTTAAAATGGTTATAATTCTAAAGATGAATTATTTGGTGGAGATTAACTAAAGATTTAAGTTGGTTAAAGGTCTAGCTCAGTCAAAGTGGACATTTTATGGCAGATATTTTCCTTAAAGAACGACTAACTTTCCTTCAAGTACAGCACAAGGGTTGTGTCATTGTGTTCACTCTAGAGAGGCTCAGCGGTCTACTCACTGTTGACGGATCCAAACTCCTTCTCGTGTGCTCTGGTCAGGATCTCTTTGTACAGAGCCTCAGCGTCTTTGAACTTCCCCTGCTTCAGGTAGCACGTCGCCTGAGGAGAACAATCTTTCAATTCACAAAATCCTCTTTGAAACAACAATAAAACACAGAATCACAGAATACGATGAGATTGCAGAGCAGAAAACAAATTAAAGTTACATTACTGTATATCAAATATATAGTTAAAATCTCTCTTGAAGAGTCCTCACCAGGTTATTTTGGTCTTGGCCACGTTGGGGTCATCGGCTCCCAGTTTGGACTCGTAGATCTCGAGGGCCCGACTGTAGTAGTACTCCACCTCGTCGTACTTCCCCTGGTTCTGACACAGCAGCGCCAGGTTGTTCAGCTGCTTGGCTACATCTGGGTGGTACTTCCCCAACACCTGGAGACACATTGACACACATGGAGGTTTACATTAATGCTTTTAGTTGAAGAAGTACTCCGCTTTTGTGAGTATGTATCGTTTATTTAAATGGTGGACTTTGTATAGAAAACATACTTTTATTACATTATGAGTCGGCGCTGTGGGTCTTTACCTTCTCTCTGATTTCCAGCGCTCTCTTGCACAGAGGTTCGGCCTCCTTGTATTTCCCTCTCTTTCCGTACAGGACGGCCAGGTTGTTGAGGGTGGCGGCCACAGCGGGGTGATCCTTCCCCAGCGTCTTCTCTCTGATGGCCAGCGCGTCGTTCAGCAGGTGAGCCGCCTCTTTGTACTTGTTCTGATCCCTGGAGGACAAACAGAACGACTCAAAGCTCTCAAATAAGACAAGATATACCGTCTTCATCCCAAATGGGGAAACGTTTGTAAATGTGGAATATACAGTATAAACACATCCACTCCGTTCCTCACCTGTACACCAGAGCCAGGATGTTGAGCATGGTGGCGACATCGGGGTGGTCGTGTCCGGATGTTTTCTCCAGGTCCTCCAGAGCCTGTTTGCAGAGCGGCACGGCCACCTCGTAGCGGCCCTGCGAGGCGTACTGGATCACCAGGTTGTGCAGCGTCCTGAGGCGGGCCGGGATCTCGTAGCCCCCCTGCTGAGCCGCCACCTCTCCGCTGGGCTGGGCTGTGAGGACAGGAGAGAGGATATTTAAATGTCTCCCTATCCGTCAAATAAACTGTTTTCTTCTCCAAATGTTTAATTCTTCGACTGTTTGGCTCTCAAAGCACCTCGTCTCCTTTCAACTCCTGAACCTGACATTTCTCTTGTGATCCTGATGTCTAGTTCCCAAACTAGAGCAACATTTAATTGAACTATAAAAGGTGGAATAAAGATGAGACAACATTTCTGAGAAGTATTATTCAGTTCTTCATAAATAAACAGACCAATCGGCAATTATGGGACGCCCTACTCCCAGGCTAATGGAGCGGAGAGCTAACCAACCTGTACATTGAACCGCACCGCATTAGTGACCGTCTGAGTGAAGCATCAACATGACCACATGTCCTGCTTCAAATCATTTATTTATCTTATCTAAAGTATCTCCCAGTTTGACCGTTAAACTGTATGTTTTCCACTGACACAAGGAGCTGTGTGTGAAAACTTGAGAGAACAACTCGTGCCTGAGTTGAAATGACTATAAAGTTCAGGCCTCAGGGCAGCAGAGGCCTGAGGTGACTGTGAATGAAAGGAAGGACTGTATCCGGCTCTTATTTTGTAACTCTATGAATAGAAAAACTATGCGAAAGCAGATTCATATTTACACTCTATAACATACCAAAAGGAAGGATCTTACAACTTTAACTTAAATAAACCTATGAATTATAAAAGGGGTAAATCCAAGTGTAGCTTTGGTAAATATATAAATGTGATTTCTACCTTCTTCAGAGAGACTATCCCTCTATCTGACTTAACTTAAGACTGGTCATTCATAATGGAAGAAAGGTTAGCTATACAAAAGGACCGACTGCCCGAAGCAAAACCAATTATCTCTGCTTCCCGTGGTCTACCACTGAAACACACCCTCCTCCAGTATCAGGCTCCTGTTCATGCAAACTGGGATGGAAATCTTTTGTATGTTCAAGGTCGTTTCTGCCGAGTCACTTTACTCTTTCCTAAGGGCTCTGACTTTGAGGCTAAATAGCTCCTCCAGGCTTCCCTTTCAAATATTATTGCACTATTACCTTGAGTTGAAACAACGAGTCAGCTAAATGATTAATTCCATGAAAAAATATTTCATTTACAAGGATTCAAATAATCGATTTAATTGATTAAGTGACTTTTCAGGCAAAATAAAGCTGAATATTTGCTGGTTCCAGCTCCTGAAAGAGGAGGATTGGCGCCTTCCTTGTGTGTTGTCTGACAGCAAATGGAATATTTGTGGGTTTTAAACGCATGGTCAGAGTTTCAAAGCATTATGTAATCTTGAGTTTGAGGAAAAACAATGTGTAGATTCATATATAAGGAGAATAAGCATTACTCACAGCCTATAAACCTTGTTAGCATCTCCTAAAGCACATACCTGGCCCCTGGTCGTCATCGTTGGGGAACAAGTCGTCCAGACTGTCCTTCGAAGTGTCTCCTCCACTTCCTCCCCCGCCAGAGCTCTGGTTCTTCTCCTCCGACGGAGACACGTCATCGTCAAACTTCTTGATCTGGTTCATGAACACCAGGTGCTTCTTCTCCTCCTCCAGCTGCGCCACGCTCTGCTCGCTGCGCTGCAGTTTGTGCTGCGTCCCGGCCAGCTCGTCCCGCAGCCACTGGTTCTCCTGGCAGAGCCGGCGCACCTGAGCCCGCAGCTTCTGCTTCTCCGACTCCACGGCGCTCAGGTGGCTCGACAGGGCGATGATCACCTTTGACAAAAATGGGACTTTTACACACTGTGGATTATTTTGACTTAATTACTGTAAGGACTCCCCTGATACATGAACACTTATCCATCAAGAATCAGAAAGTGGAATTTGTGCAATCGTACAAATATCTCAGGACCCTTTTTGACTGAAAATCCTATTTTAACATTGAAAAAACCATGATGATCATGTTTTTATCGTGCTCTTATTGGGTCGATTCTGTCCTTTTCTTTAGTGTCATAGTTTGGCAACCTGTCTTTGAAGAGCAGAAACTCTCTCACTCAGGTTATAAAGCTGCACACCACAGCCAAACCTGGAGACCCTGAACCTCAGACAGTTACAGCGGTTATCCAGCTCTATTTTGGACAATTACTCCCACCCTTTGCTCACGGAATTCAAGCAGCCATCGCACAAATTAACAAGTTGTAGCGGCGTCACACAGATGCCTATTTATTTATTAACTTTGTGGATTGCTCATGTTTGTACTAGTTGATTTGAAATGTTTTTAGATGTGACGGAGCAGCAGGTACTTTTTTTTTTAGGGATTTGTCTGTGTTGTTTTAGAATGTGTGATCCCTTGTGTTTTATCTGCAAACCAAACCTACCTACGCGTACAGATAAATAACCTGAACCTGGCTCAGTATCGTGTTACCTGTGCCTCTCCCAGGCCCAGCTCGATGGCCTCCAGACTCTTGCGCAGCAGGCCGGATTTCTCCTGCGCGGCGGGGGGCTGGGCGCAGTCCAGCAGCGAGTTGAGGATCTGGGCGTGTTCGCCGCGCAGCGTCTCCAGGCCCTGCATGACGGCCTTGGTGTTGAGGACGATCTCATCCTGGCTCAGGCGCTCCAGGGCTTCTTCACGAGGATACACCATTGTGGACATAGCCTGGTTTCATACGCACTGTGGGGGAAGGAAAAAGACATAGCAGACAAATGTTACAAGAAGGCCGTTATTGGGGAAAGGAGACTGGTTTTTGCTGTGTGTGCGTTTTGTTTTTCACGTCCTGTACTGCTTGAAATTCTCACAATTCCCACAAGGTCATGTACGGGAGGACAACAAAAAGAACGACAAGATAAAAAAGAAAGTACGTTTCTCTTTCCCGCAGTGCTCCCTTTCTCTACAGTTTTAAAGAAGTCAAGGGCTAAACAATAGTTTACAGTTTCATAATAACCTTACATAACCCTTGGGTAGTAAGGCGAGACGGAAAGGTGTGTGTGAGAGTATGAATAACCCAGATTACTAAAAGAGGATTCCTCCGAGCTGGACAGTGACGCAGCAGCTGCCATTGACCAGTAAAGCCAATTAAAGTGAGACGCTGTCACATGACAGAGCTGCTCTACCCAGGAGACATTCACTCAGAGTGAGGTGATGATGTCAACATCAAACATTACAGGAGAACATTCTCAATTGACCCCTGATGTAGCGGAAAAGGACAACATTCAAACTGCTTGGATTAACAATATCTGGAAAGTTCCACATCAGGTTGTAGACAGAGCCCGGCCCAGTAAATAGTCACTTCCTTTCCTGCAGGTCTGAATATTGAGCAGCTGTAAAGGAGACGTTGCAGCAGGACAGAGGAGGCAATTGTGCAACATCGTGACTTTTTCTCTGTTCCTGCTTTCATGGAGGAGGTGCACCTGTTCTCCTCTCCCTCATTATGTGTCGATCTCTCTCACCCATCCTCCCCCCCTCCTCCTCTTCCCTTCCGCCTCATACACTGACTGCAATGCACCAATATTCACACATCCTTTCAAATGCTTCGTTTGCAAAATGCATAGAGGTGAAAGTAAAGAAAATACTAAATTAAAGCATCCGGATATAATAATTTCGCTTATCCAGGCTTTTTTTTTACGTGTCTATTTTAAGCTACAAATGGATAGATGAGCCGGTGGATGGTCGAGGCCTGTGCCCGGGATGGGCGGCAGTGTTTGCATTGGCATCATATCAATCAAGGTGACCGACAATGGAGAGGACTGATCAGAGAAAAAGGCAAAGCTTTTAAAGATGATTCCGAAAAAGAATCACTGAAAAAGCGTGAAAATGTCCCACATGTTTGTAAACAGTGCAGGCCCGAGCATCAAGATATTACATAAAAACACACTGATGCACATTATATTAGGCGACTGTATAGTATATGCAATATGCAAAGATAAGAATATGACAAGATTCATTTTAAAAAGTGCTGTTTTATAGGTAAAAACACAGGCGAGGGGTGACTCGGATGACACATTTACGGACCTCGCCGAGGATGTGGCGTTTTATTTGACAGCTTGCTAAAATTATATCTATTTCAGCAACGTAACTATCGAATTCATGTAATTTCAATATTATTAATCCGTATATTTACCTTCATCGAAGACAAGTGCGATGCTTTCTGTCTTTCGAACAAAGCGTCAGGACAATGTTGTGATGCTCCGGACAAACTAGTGTCAAGTCTACCGACGTAAAATAAACTGCTTCCGGTTGTGTTTTTCAAATTAAAACTGTATTGTAGGTTGAAGTCGTTTGCAATCACGTCTGCAATGTAGGCCTATCAAACACGACGACGTTTTAATTAAAGGCAGTGATGATTTAGCTAAGAAGTGAATGTTAACGCCGGTTGGTTCGAAAAGCTAACCGTTGAATTACCGTTAATTCTAACTTTACTTTGGACGAAGCTAGGGACTGTGAACTTCCGTTAGCTTACCTGTCTCGTTCATTTCACGCTACTCACATTGTTTGTTTTGCACATGGCACACTAATATAGCTCCTTTATCACTTAGTTTAGCTAAATACGATTAGCTACAGCGTGTTAGTTAGCCAAGCTTCAAGCAGTTAATTAACGTATGTTTCACTTCAACTTACCCGGACCGTTACTTCAAAATTCAGGCTGGCAGGAAAGCTATAATTAAACATGCCGGTACGACTGGTCATCCCCTCAAAAACGTATATTCAGTAACAAAGAGTCCTTTTGGATATGTCTCAAATGGGACAGATAGGAGACGAAAAACGGCGGTTATTTCACAATTTAACAATCAAAGATGAAATAAAATGTCAAGATGAATTGTTGCGTTGGCCATTTTCCAAACTGGGCGGGAAACAATCCTGCGCATGCGTACAGCCAAACTGGTGATCTAGCTAGCCTCCCATCGACTTAGTTCTTCTCATACAACTGATTTATTTTATATATAATTAATAAAGCATTCAAAATCATTTGGAATTGATCAAGTATATTGTCCCTAACTAATTCGGATTCAAAAAGTAAATAATTAAACACGTGTGTTCACGTAACAGGATGTAGTTAGAAGTGAAGCCTCTTGCTGTGCTCATACTCTTTGTGCTCCCATTCAAAGACGAACCAGGGCATCAGGGTAGTGAGAGGCCTTCTGTGTACGACTGACCTGCTTCACAAGCATTATGTGCACGATTTATTTACAATGTCACTCTTTATATCACCTTCTAAAATACTACGATGACCCATTTTAATTGTTTACCATTAACATTTACAATAACTATCAACATATCTCAATATTTGGTGTATTTGCATTAAACATGAATGTATTTTTTGTCTTGCATGATAACAACTATTTTCTGTTAAATTGTATTGCAGTTTTATTGCACTAGCTTGTAACTATTTACTTATTTTTCCGTCATTTTGATTTCTTATTGCAAGCCCATTGTTTCCATAACTCAAATGGAAAGCATTAACAGCAAAATAAATGTTATATATTGAAATCTAACTGTTTAAGTAAGTATAAAGAAGCTATAAAAGCAACAAACGCATACACAAAAACATGAGGCTGAGCTACAAATCAGGAATATCTTTATTTAAAAAAACAAAATAATGAACACTTCCACTTTTCATCCCACATCTGTTTGATTGACAAACATAATCCTGAAAAAGCAGTTCTACAAAACATGTCAAATTAAGAAAAACAAAACAAAAAAACAGAGCTAGAATACAATATTACAAGTACTATCTGATATGTACAAGCATTATAGTTTATTATTATAATTATTGTTATAGGCAAAAGGCAAAGAAGCTGAAGACTGCTGCTGAAGAAACAATGGCATGTGCAAAATACTCTCCACAAGCTTAGGGCGCGCTGAGCAGAAATCAGCCAGAAATCTACTGCTTAGGCAAATGTTGTTCCCATGAGGACATACGGCAGAATGTACAAGCTGTCAGGGAATATGGACAATATCATTTCAGGTGATTTTAGAAAGCTAAGCTTGTGGAAGCCTGGTGAAGAACGCTCTCATCGTCAGAGGTATATCTGAGGACGGTGGAGGGACAAGACACTGCTGATCACTGACGGAGATTATTGACGGACCAAACAGCTCCGAATCTCTAACCACGACTAGTCAAGGACAGAGGAACCATCGATACACCGTCACAAACACACACAGGTACAGGTAAAAACACCCAGGAACAAATTCAAGACTTACATACAGAACAACCAGAGTTTTTTTTAAAGAGACTGTAGGAAAACGTGTAAACTGGAACTGTTGTTGATGAAAGATGAGAAAAAAGTTCCTCCAAACTTTGAAATGTTGACTTCAGATCAAGGATCGCTTTGTTGTTATTGAATTATCAGAGATCCAAAGAAACCCACACATCTAGCTGAGTAAAGTCACATTTTAGTTTTGGCAGTGATTTTGTTTAAAATTCCTTTCTTTCAGTAAAAAAGAAAATCCAAATTCAGTTCAATCACTGAGCGCCAGCTGACCTTTAACCTCTCTGTGAAGGCTCCAAGAGGAAGAGGCATCAATAAACTAAGCTTGTCTACCTTTAAGGAAAAGTTTAGATTCACATCATTGTGATAATAACGCCAACAACACTACAAGGCAAAGAGCGTTTAGATAGTACACAGAGGACAATTTCCCATTCACTGTTATAGTTCAAGTTTAAAAAGATCAAGCATTTTTTATTCCATCTAGAAATGTTGGAAAGTTTTCAAATCAATGTTTGGGTTTGCCTTCATATTAAAACCTACTCAAAAGGAGCTTTCTAAGTCGCCACTAATGCCTTTATTGAATGTTAAGCTGTTACAATGCAAAAAGCAAATTAAAGGTGACATATTATGCTAATTGTTTAGGTTCATGCTCTATTGTTCTACTGTAAACATGTTCATATGCTTCAATGTTTAAAAAAACTGTTATTTCTCTCGTACTTTCTGTTTGAATATACCTGTATTCACCCTCGGTCTGAAACGCTCTGTTTTAGCGCCTGTCTCTTTAAGAACCTTTCTGCTCTGATTGGTTGGCGGGGGGCCTTAGATCCAAACCTTTCACATTGTAATAATAACTTAACATTAATAAAGTAATTAGTGGCCAATTATGAAAGCTTGTATGTGTTCGCTCTAAGAGGTCCTGTGATGATTGTACTTGTTTTCAAAAGTCTTAGGGGTTAACTTTAATAACTGCCAATTGTGTTTACTTCTAAGCTTTTTAAGAGCAGGTGTTGGTATTTTAAAATGTAATTTATGTGGAATTAAAAAAATGCACATTACATTAACACTCACTGATATTAAGGAATAATGAAACCCTGTCTTCTTACCAACCCTTAAATAGTTCTCAACATAAGTGTACACATTTCTAAATGGGCCATTAACTGTTTGCCACAAAAAAGTTTGGGTAATTCCACTGTTAATGTAGACTTTACAATGAATGCACTGGACTGGTGGGACCTTCAATGTGTAAAGTCAGTTTTAGGCCAAATAACCAAATGATCTAGCAACACATCTACTTGTGCCTGAAAACTAAATGCTATATATTCAAATATTTGGAAGGACTTATAATCAAACGACCCCAAACTGAGTGTTTGTTCATCGGTGAACAAGCAAATCCTTTAGTTTGAAACCATCGTGTAACCGGTGCTGTAACACTTTACTATCGACACAGGGAACAAATAAATCTAACTAACAACAAACGCATTTGAATCAAGACATTGGCATTAACACTATTCAAATAAAAATTCTAATACTTTACTGGAC